TATTCTTTATGCCTCTCTAAGTTTTTATTATCACATTTTTATGCCCAGGTCTTCCCTTCATGTCTGGAAATGTCAAAGATCCCCACACATACAGATGAAGCTTTCAGAGTGCTTGAGGCAAGCTTCGGATTTAGCTAGTAGGTGCTTACTTGAAAATGCAGCACTAAACAAAGTTTGGTTTCAGCTTCTTTCAAATAGTGGTCAGCTATAGAAACCTTGTTTGGGTGGTAAGACAGCCCAGAACAGGGGACAACTCAGACCAGAGTTCAACACAGTGCCCTACAGGTCAAGCTGGCCCACCACCTGTTGTTTTGCAGTCCACAAGCTAATGATGATTTTTTTATTTTTAGGTGGTCAGAAGAATATCTAGAGTATTATTGTGCCATTGGCGTAGAATACAGTGTAACTTTTGGGTTAAAAGGATCACAGTATCTAGTCAACCTGATGGGACACAAATTCACTGTTGCTCAGTAGCAAATACAAAACATAACTCCTCAATGAAACTGTGAGAAAGCTAGTACTGCTTTTATTGGTGTAGTTTGGGGAATAGCAATGGAGATCAGAAGGAATTATTTACTCAAGCTGGAAACACAAGTATATCTGTAGTCATTATTCTCATGATGAATATAAAAAGAGATTTTCATATGAGCCATGCAGAGTCCACACAGGCCCAGGCTTTCTGATTGTCCTTTTCTCAGCCAGTCTTTCTGATTGAGTCCTTCTGGCCTGAATGCCATTAATGTTTGAAGGTAGACATGGTGCCTTCCCCACACACACCTGCACATGACCAGGAAGGAGTGCCCACATTCAAAGCGAAGTTCTTAAGTTTGAGCAAGTATAATCCCTTCCACTGCTCAAGCATTTATATATATATATAAACACACACACAAACACACACACATACATATTTTTAAGAATTATTTAAGTCTATTATTACTAGATAGATAGATAAAGAATTATTTTATTTATTTTTTTTAAATTGCTATAGGGCACATGTGCAAGAGAAAGAGAGAAGTGAGAAAGTAATGTACCAGGTCCAGGTCTTGAACCATGGTTGGCCATGTGAGAATCCAGTGCCTTAACCATCATGCCACCTGCTGGCCCGCTGGCCTTATATATTAATTAGAAATATTTAAAAGATACATTTTTCCATTAAAATATAAATATAATTCCAAACATATAAAAGGATATAGTTTAATAAAATATAAACTGTTTATTTTTTAAACTTGATGTTATTTTAGTCTCTGAGCCATCAACTTGAATCTAATTTAGGTAATATTTTACTGATTGCTACCATTTACTCTATTGTGTTCACAAGGAATGCCTGCTTCCTCTGTTACCCTGTTTAGCAAGTTCACACACACCTACAATGCAAGGTTCAATGCTCATCTCCTCTTCTCTCAAAATAACTTGTGTCTCCTCTGAACCCTTTTTATCCTTGTACTTAAGCTTTCATGTGAGTAAAAATGGTTATGTATTTCCTGTGTGTGTGAGCTTTGCCTTTCCAACTTGACTGCAAACCTGAAGGGTTAGAGTCATACCTAGCAATTTTCTGAGTCTGCTAGAGCACATATCATAATTCTACAATAGGTCTTTACGCCATGTCCCTCAGCTGAGTAATCAATTCCTATAAGCCTTTTTCAAATGATATGGTATCTTCTGTGGGGAAAAAAAAAGGTAACCTTTTGGACAATAGCTTTGCTATGATGAAGATGAGAACACCACAAAGGACTAAAGGTCATTGGTTTTTATAGGAACTTTTACAACAAGAGTGGAAATGTCATCTCTGGCAAAGTTCTGATGAGTCGAAAAGGTTTTCCGGCATCGACCCAGAATTGTCTATTTGGAGGCTGGTTCTGCCTCCCATCACCATACTCATCCCATAATCACAAAGTGGTTCACACAGACAAGAGCCCTGGAAGAGGAGACTTGCCTGAGGGCACTTTGCCATTTAGAAGAACCACATACACTCAACAGTTCAAAGGCCTCATGAGACCGGCACGGCCAGTCGGCTGTCAAATAACATGAGTGTGAGGTGACTTCAGAACGCTTCTAGGAAAAAAGGAGGAATTTATTTTGGTGCAAAATATTTTTTGACATCTATGCAGTTTTCTCAACAGACGCCCTTCCTAGGAACTTTTCAGAGATCAATCATATTAGGGGTTCTGCACGAACTTTCTGCTATACAGTGAATCTAGGTAGAAGGCCAGTTTAGGAAAGGCTCTCCCTAGCTTCCTTTCTTTTTTCTTTCCTTTCTCCCCTTGTTTTTAAAAGACTACTCGTCTTATATATATATATATATATATATATATATA